GCCACGGTACAGAGGCCCCACCTTAATGCTCCTCTCCATGGCCTTCTTCGTGGTCATGACGGCGTTCGGGGCCCTCGGCTACGTGGTGACGGCGTGGAGGGTCCTCTGGCTCGTCTGCAACATCCCTCTCTTGCTCGCGGTGCCGATGACCATGTGAGGGGGACTGGAATGGGTCTTTCATTTAGGTTTGGAAGAGAGAGAGAGAGAGAGAGAGAGAGAGAGAGAGAGAGAGAGAGAGAGAGAGAGAGAGAGAGAGAGAGAGAGAGAGAGAGAGAGAGAGAGAGAGATCTATATATATAAAGACAGATAAACAGATAAATAGATAGAAATAAATATAAAGACATACAGATAGATCAAGAGAAAGAAAATGAAGACCCCTCTGGTGATCACAAACATCAACGGCTTCCAGGTTGATCGACGAGTCTCCACGCTGGCTGATTCAGAAGGGCTTCGGGGCAGAGGCGGCCGCGGTGCTCGAAAAGGCGGCACTGAAGAATGGCGTCCAACTTTCAGACGGAACCAACTCGTATCTGGAGAAGCTCAAGCTGGTAAGCCATTTTGATAGGTCTGGTTTGTCTGTTTTGTGGCATTCTTTCGCTGTCCTTCCACGGAATCTTTCATTTAGGAAGACTGTATATGGAGTTCTAAAAACAGGACTTCAGTATCAAGTACATTCCTAATGTTATCAGTTATATATTCAATTTTTCATTATTAAAGTAAAAGTTAAAAAAGGCATCTCATTTCTTCAACTTCTAAAAAAAAAGAAAAAAGAAAAAAAAGAAAAGGAAAGAAAGAAAAAAAGCGATAATTTCTCTTCTCATTATTTCCTTATTTTTCACACACAACATAGAAGCTATTCCATGCACTTAACTCAATGCTCAAACTCTGGCAGCTGAGCACGAGTTCCGGAGCAGCAACCACAGGGGATGGATGCCAGTGCTCCTGGCTCTCGAATGCCTTATCTTATCTCCGGTCGCCTGCCATGCGCCTCGTCCTTTTGGTCACGCCCTTGGTCTGGCTCTTCCAAAGGATGGTGTACGTGGGCATCATCCTCAGTGCCAACAACTTCACCAGGTTGGTTCTTGTGACGCTCCAGAATATTAGAAGTTCGTCTTGCTGTGCCTCTGTCTTATCCTAGAGCTATTGAATTATTGTTTTTGTTCATTTTTATTAAGCATTGTTATTTTCTTAATGCTTTCTTTTTTATTTCGTCTGCTTGTTCCTCTCTCTTTTAATGTCTTCCTCTTCATGCTCTCTGTTTGTTCCTCCCTTTTAATGGTCTTTGCCTTTTCCACTCTTTTAATGTCTTCCTTTTAATGCTCTCTGCTTGTTCCTTCCTTTGTATCTCCAAGATCTCCCTTTTAATGCCTTCGTTTAATGCTCTCTGCTCGTTCGTCTCCCTTTCAGTGCCTGCACCGTAATGCTCTCTGCTCGTTCGTCTCCCTTTCAGTGCCTGCACCGTATTGCTCTCTACTCGTTCATCTGATTTAATGATCTCTCCTTGTCCCTTCCCTTCTAATGTCTTCTCCTTGTCCCTCCCTTCTCAGTAACAGCCCCTTCGAGTTCGTGATCATTTCCGGCGGAATCGGTGGGATAACGGTCTTTCTGACGACGCCCGTCATGATGAAGCTCGGCAGGAAGACCATCATCGTTGGGGCTTTCCTCACCAGCACCATCATGCTGCTCTGCGACTTGGCTGTGCCCGCAGGTACTCATTTCTCGCGAGAGTTTATGCATGGATTTTGTATATCAAGTGTGATGCTATAGAGCGGTGTGGAAGGCGAGTTTTTTTTTGCCCCATTGGGTGTGCTGTATGCATGTATATCTGTCTGTCTATCTCTCCGTCTGTCTACCTTTCTTTCTATCTATTTATTCCTCACTCGCTGATTGTAAAAGAGAAAAAAAGAAAGAGAAAGAGAATGAGAATAAGAAAGAGAAAGAGAAAGAGAAAGAGAAAGAGAAAGAGAAAGAGAAAGAGAAAGAGAAAGAGAAAGAGAAAGAGAAAGAGAAAGAGAAAGAGAAAGAGAATGAGAATGAGAATGAGAATGAGAATGAGAATGAGAAAGAGAAAGAGAAGGAGACAGACAGACTATATGTAAATGTATTGCCACACAACAGTGTTTGAAACCCTCTGAATTCCAAACACTCTTCGCCCCTCCTGAAGTAACCCAAGGCCGCCGTTTCAGAACACTGGTGGCTCAAATGGATCCTCGTCCTGGGCGCCTTCTGCCTCTCCGTCGGGGCCTTCCAGGTGAGTCCTTCAGTCCTGTCGCTCGTTCACGAAATAGCTATTCGTTCTAGCTTTGACAGTGATTTATGTACTTAAGATTTAAGATTTACAGTAATTGCGATGTGTGTGTGTGTGTGTATGTGTGTGTGTGTGTGTGTGTGTGTGTGTGTGTGTGTGTGTGTGTGTGTGTGTGTGTGTGTGTGTGTGTGTGTGTGTGTGTGTGTGTGTGTGTGTGTGTTTGTACTTGTGTTAGCGTTTACGTGGTTCCGAGCGAGCATACGTTCGTACATGCGTGAGTGTGTGTACGTGTGCAATATATTAATGTCAATATCCATATTTCTAAGAGTCCCGTAACATCCTCCAGGTTAACTACGTGTTCGCCGCTGAGCTGATGCCGACGGTGATTCGAACTCGCGGCTTCACACTGTGTAATCTCGTGGGCTGCATTGGGGAGGCGCTCGTCCCTATTATAACGGAAATGGTGGTGAGTACAACTAATTACTTAAGAAAAAAAATGCTTCTTCTACCAAATGAACAAGTGGTTAATGGTCAATCGTTGAATAGTTAAAACAATTGAATGTGTTAGACATCAAGGTCACATAGCAAAGAATAGCAACAAAAAGGGTGAAGAATTAATTAATGATTATTGATAAACTTAAAGGTTTAAAAAGGTGAAGAGTTAAGGGGTTTAGGACACTTAGATTAAATGGAGGATATTTATACGTAGGAGGAAGGAGAGTAATAAGTTGTCTAAGGAAAAAGGGAAGGGATTCCAAATGGATAAAGAAAGTGTGAAGAAATACAACGATAATAATTTCATTTGGAAGGTCTCAGTGTTGTTTGATATGTATTCTCAATCTATATATCTATTTTATATTTTGATGTGTTTAGTTTTTCATTTTAAGTCTATGGTTATTTGAGCTACAATACTACACTCTTTGGCAATATGTCATTAGAACTACATTTCCCTTTTCATGACTTTTCACATAATTTTACCCATGCCATTATTCAGTATTCATTCTCAATCTGCATACCCATCTTCTTAATCTTCATCTGCATCCCATCTCCTTTCTCCCCTTCACCTATATCTCAATTTACCCATTTTCTAACCCCATTTCCATTCTCCCCTCCCCTCTCTCCCCCCCTCCTTAGAGTCGCTACGCATGGTGGGCCTCCAGCGTGTGTTTCGGGATCGCGGGCATTATGGCAAGTGTCCTGGTGACCTTGCTTCCGGAGACGAAGGGGAGGTCACTGCCGGAGAGCATCGCGGACGTCGAGGAGAGACACAGTAGCATCAAGAACAAAGACACAGACAAAGACACAAAGAAAGAAAAGGGTCTTGTATGATAAACAGACAGATAGATAGATTAAAAAAAAAAACAGGGAACAAACAAAGACACAGACAAAGACACAAAGAAAGAAAAAGGGTCTTGTATGATAAACAGACAGATAGATAGATTAAAAAAACAAACAGTGAACAACAAAGATACAGACAAAGACACAAAGAAAGAAAAAGGGTCTTGTATGATAAACAAACAAACAGATAGATTTAAAATAAAACAGTGAACAAACAAAGACACGAACAAAGACACAAAGAAAGAAAAAAAAAGGTGTTGTATGATAAACAAACAAACAGACAGATAAAATAAAACCATATAATACTCTTAAACGAAGAAACAGCCAAGAAGAAGAATAAACTGTGTTGATCATTTCTTTTGACTTCTGTTGATAACGGTTGCAGATAATAATCTTTCTGATATCCGTAAGAGGAGAAGGAAGGACAGTAACACAGTAAATAATAATAATAATGCTAATAATAATAATAATGCTAATAATAATAATAATAAAGGAAGATAGGAGAGGAAATAATATGAATTTTATATATATATATGAGTATGATATTTGTCGTGTTGTGATACTGATGTTAAAAAACAATAGCTTATCTTTAACATATATTGCAAGCAAATTCCCAAAATGTATCATCTATCAAAAGATCAAATAAATATGTATAATCATTTTGTAAAGAAGAAATTTTAATTGGGTCTGTAAAATGCAATGATTGTATCTCTTCCAATTCAATGCGTTTTATAAAAATGTAAACCAAAATCAACTTATCAGAGCCCTTTTGAACATCCGGCAAATAAACGTGCAATATTATTGGTCTGATTAATTATATATATTTTTTTCTTTTTTCCTTTTTTCTTTACTTTTCTTTTTTTTCTTTTCTTTTCTTTTTTATACATGTCAATATGTATATGAGCAGTATACTAAATCGTCATTAAAAAATCTAAGGGCATTATAATCATATAATAGAGAAAAATATCCTTGCGGGATAATGCAAATGCAGCCCTACAAGATCACTATACTTGTGGGCTATATATAGTAATCTTGTATAACTCGTTTATATATATATATATATATATATATATATATATATATATATATATATATATATATATATATATATATATATACATAAATATATACACACACATACACACACACATATTTATATACATACGTATATATATGTGTGTATATATATATATATATATATATATATATATATATATATATATATATATATATATATATATATATATATATATATATATTTGTGTGTGTGTGTGTATTGTCATGTTCCGTTACTGCTTACGAAGCACACGCACAACCAATGTATTTGATGGCGTGGCTTTGCAGAGCCTACATAACTGCGATTTACAAGCACGTGTCTTCTCTTCTTTCCATTGTCTTCATCAAAAGGCAGGAA